CCATCCATCCATCCATCCATCCATCCAGCCATCCATCCATCCAGCCATCCATCCATCCATCCAGCCATCCATCCATCCATCCATCCATCCATCCATCCAGCCATCCATCCATCCATCCATTATCTTTACCCGCTTCTTCCTTTTCGAGTTTTAGGGGGTCCATCCAGCAGTCACTGTGCGAGAGGTGGAGGACACCCTGGACTGGTTTCCAGTCCATCACAGGGACACAGAGTCAAACGTGACAAACAACCATTCACTCTCTCACTCACACCTAGAGACAATTTAGAGTTACCAGTCAATCTAACATGCATGTTTTTGGTCTGTGGGAGGAAACTGGAGCACACGGAGAAAACACACATGCACGGAGAGAACATGCAAACTCCATCCAGAAAGACCCCGGTCAGGATTTGAACCAGCAACTTGCACACTGAGAGGCAGCAGCTCTGCCAACTGTGCCACCATGCCGCCCCAGACCAGTTAATTTGGATTTGAAAGAAACCGAGAGGCTACTGTGTCCTGACGCATGCTCAATAATCCAGGTAGAAAAATCTAATAAAGTTAAGTCAGGTCCTCTGGACGGATTAAAAAAGAAAAAAAATGTTGAAACTTTTTGTCAGTCTGATGAGCTACATCAGACTCAGTCTTATAAATAGCACCTAGCACAGTGGGTCAACCAGTTTGCTGTGACAGCCAGAACTAGCTGTTAACATGCTAAAGGAGGACCATCAGTCTAACGACCGATCGTTAGTGCCCTGATGGCCGCGTGCTATTATATGAGAGGTTCCTGCATAAACTTTAATTTGTAACAGCTACAACTGAACGTAACCTTCTCCCAAAGTTTCTCTGAAGGAGTCGAGAATAAATCCAGTCCACATAAACTTGCCAAAATAAAACCGTTTGGGTCAAGTACGGACTCCAGATTTTTATTTTTTTTACATTCAAATAGGATTTTTGGAAAGGCATCAGGTCATAAATTCTTCTTTTTGAAAAATAAAACTTTAACATGACAGCATCAGCTGAATGTTTAAAGTTCTGTGTTTTACTCGTGTTAGAGTAAATGAATGTGAAAATTTGTCTAAATGAAAATGTGCTAAAGGGAACTCATATTTAGTGATAAAGAAACAAAAGTTCAGCTTCTTCCACTCATCAAGTCACACTTCTCTTTTGGACCTGCCCAGGTGTTTTAAATTTATTTATAATTTTTCTAAATTTATTTAACCACAAAACTGCTCGAAAAAGTGGGTAAGGATTTTGTTTTTCATTTTCAAATTCTTGCTGTCGACAGATTAGACATCGCTGCAGCTGATGTTTGTCAGGACTGGTTCAGGGGCGTCTGCGTACGCTCGTTTATTCCCAAATTTACACTTTGAAAGAGGTGGGCGTGAAACATCAGATCAACTTCATTTATATAAAGCAAATAAAACAACCAGAAACCAACAGAAAACTTAAAACAAAGCAAATAAACTACATCAAAACTTATGAAGTCAACTAAAAGTAATAAAAAATAAAAAAAAATTAAAAACACTGTTGTTCCTTGTAGGAGTACATACCCGCCACCAGTCTCAAAGATCACACATGATCTGTCGACAGAGTATGTGTTGGGAATGACTCTCAGCTACTACCAAACCAACTTTTAGCTCAATATCTAAAGTTGATTAGATGTGGCGGCCATCTTGGCTCCAAATAATCCAAAATAATCACTGGATTTACAGCTACAGCTTAAAGATGTAAATCCAATGTTTATAAGAGTTTAATTAAAATCTGCCCACTGGTTCATGAGAAATGTTGCCAACAGACAGATTATCATGGTCGGTTATCATATGACAAGTATGACTCTCAGCTACTACCACACAAACTTGTAGTTCAATATCTGTAAGACCGACTGAGTCGTGGTCGTCGTTGTCTTTGCAAAAGCTGTGGCAGACGGCGTTCGTTTGACTCTTTTCGAGGAGGCTGGAGAAAATAAAAGCTCCAAATGTTGAATTAGATGATGGGATGATAAGACGATGTGTTTCTTATTCTATGGGTTGTTTAATGAAATGCACATTAATCTCATCAATGTTTAGAGGAGAAGGCTGCAAACCGTTGCAGTGATGTGTCAGCAGGTGGTCCCTCTTGACCTTCATAATCTGATTATGTTTGTCTGTTGTCAGGAGGAAGGCAGACACATCATTTATTTCACGTTCTAATTCTCAACTTATCTTCCAATTAGAGGAATTGCATTTCCTGTGAAAATGCAGTGTAAATTACTGCTGAAGAAAATGCTGATTAACAGCTGAAATTAGCTAAGAACATGCTGAGTTTTAGCTGAAATGAAAGAACAAGCCTTAATTAGCTGAAGAAAGAACACATATTTGGTGAAATAGGTATAAATTAGCAGAAATGAGCACCAAAATTAGTAAATAAGCTAAAAAAAATAAAATAAAATTAGCAAAAATTTGCTGAAAAGTAGCTGAAAAGACAGAATGAAGCTTAAACTACCAGAAGGTAATGCAAAGAGCCGAAATGAACTAAAAAATATATGGAATCATCTAAAAAAGCTAAAATAGCAGAAAAGGCTGAAATTGCAGAAATAAGCTGAAAGGAGTATAACAAGCTGAAATTAGCAGTTCGAAGAAGCACAAACATGTTTTAGTTAGCAGAACAAATTTGAAAGGAGCACAAAACAGCTGAAAAAACTGCAGACATGAGGTAAAAGTAGCTAAAAAAAGTTTAAATTTGCACAAGTTAGCTGAAAGAAGCTGAAGCAGAACAAAAAGTGAAAGGAGCAGTAAAAGGTTGTAAACACATCTAAAGATTAAAAGGATGTAAAATGACCTCAATTAATTTCCTGTGAGAAAAATAATGGCAGAAAAGGCCAAATATTTCAAAAAGCTAAAGTTGCGCCAATACCAAAAGTCATAGCAAGATTGTCTTGAAAGAGCTGAATATTTTGATATACAGTATGCTTTTTAAAAAAAAAAATAGCTTGAAAACTGTGGGACAAGAATCACGCCGAAAAATATAAATGAGTCACAATAGTGTTAATGCTTCATAAACATGCGCACAGTTAGCTCACTGAGGGCTGTGGTGAGCTAAAGCATGCGCTTGTTTTGCAAAATGTTCTAATTTCTGTCAGCTCTGACGCTAAGGAACTATTTTTTTAAGCTTTGATGGCGCACACAAGGTAGCAGAGTTGACCAAAGCCACATCGATGCGTCACAGAGGCCATGAAGCAAACCACGGAGCTGCAGAAAACAGCTGCTGCTCTGTGACACGACTGATGAGTGACACGACTGATGATAGACACGACTGATGAGTGACACGACTGATGAGTGACACGACTGATGATTGACACGACTGATGAGTGACACGACTGATGATTGACACGACTGATGATTGACACGACTGATGATTGACACGACTGATGAGTGACACGACTGTCTGAGACAGCGTTCTGATGCGTACGTGTGTTTTCAGTGTGAGGAATCTTCAGCTGTCGGTGAGGAGCAGCAGCGAGGAGAAGCAGCTGTCACCACCACAAACACCTGCAGCTCAACATCTGGAACAGCAGGTCTCGTAAGCCTTGGCTTTCCTGTTGATCGTAGAACATCAGAACGAGACACTCTGGCTGTGAAAACCTTTCAGCCCCAGTAACCACTTTACACTTCCTATAGCTCAGGCAGGCCAAGGCCAGATGTGATGAATATCAATATTTTACCCTCAAGTTTAAAACATCTGCATCGTAACACTTTTATGTTTTTCACTTTTTGTTTTAAATTTTACACTTCCTGAACTTATAGTTGAATTACAAGCATGTCCAAACATCTTGTAGTTTAGTAAACAATCTAAAGTTGCTGAAAAGTATTTATGTGTAGAACAGCCTGATGGGATTAATCACACTGAACTATTCCTGAAAAGAAAATCCATTTTTAGATAGTGTGTTGCTGTGACCATGCATATAAATGTAAATATATTTATTTAATGGATATTGGGTGGATAAGTATGTGTTTGTATTTGTAAATAGATAAATGTATATACAGTACATATTTATGTAGGATTACATTAGTTAAACCTCTTCCCACGGACTCTAGGACTCTGGATTACAGTACTAGGATTGAAATATATATATTTTTGTGTGTGCCCTGTGGTCTTAATGTTTTTATGTCTTTCTGTCTTTATGGTTGTCCTATGGTTTTTTAATTTTTGTTCAGAAATGTCTTACTGTCTTAATGTTTTTGTGCCATTATGTCTTGTCTTTACGTCTATCTGCTGAAACTTTGTCTCAGACTGTTAAATTATGTTCAAAAGAAAAATCTGTCAGCAGCAGATCTGTGCTCATACCCATCCTGGCCACCAGGTGGTGCTGTGGGGCAGGAGCAGAGATGAGCTTCACCACAGGATTTACTCCCAGCAGCCCATCAGAGGCTGGGAGGGTCAACCTGCTCATGTGTATGGAGAGATCATCCACTCCTCTCTGGCGTCTCTTTATAACAACTACACACAGGTGAGATGATAACACGAGGAGTTCTGTGGATTAAGATCGGTGTGGGTGGAATCTGATTTATGTTGCTCTTTACAGGAAACCAGTGAACGATTCCTGGTGTTGTTCTCTTTTCATCTTCTGATCCTGTCTCTGGATCACTTCCAACAAGACTTCACATATGAGGTATTAGTTTTACTACAAAATGACTTGAGGATATGTGAATTTTTATCACCACTTAAAAGTTAACTCTTATCCCCAACAGATAAGGGAGGCTCACTTGTCATGATTTGTACAAAACATTTAGCACACACTGAAGCAGAAGAATGATGGGAATAAAATGGAAAGAAATGAATGTAGTAACTGCAGCAGACAGAAAAAAGCTAAATAAAAGCCGGATGTTTTAAAAGTAGGTGCCAAAGACCTCAAACAGAGAAATCACAGAAACATATCAGACATATAAAGTTTTCCACATTTGAATGTTTCAGACTCATTTATAAATGTATTCTTTTAACCTTTTCACATTAAATTGACCTTGAAATATGGTTCAACAAACCATAAACACTGGTTCATGTTCTTGTCTTCTCGTATCCTGCAGGGCCTTCTTCCTATGTCTGGACTTTCTTTCCGAGTCGCATCTCAGGATTCTGTCACGTCCGATTCGCTGCACATGTTCGAGATTAGCAGTGAGTCGATGGAAATTCCTCAGCTCAGTCGAGATGAAGCCATCAGACTGTGGCAGACTTGTATCGTTTCTTTCTTCCACCCAGGTCCAGTGGTGGACTCCAAGGTGTTTGTGTGTTCCAGTGCTGCGGAGCTGCACAACTGGATGCAACACCTTAAAGACAGAAGATACAAGTCCATGACTCAGCCCACGGGTCCCTCTCACTGCGTGCTCTCCTACCTTGTAATGTTCAACTGTTGCACATCTGCTTACAGCTGTGAGTAAATAAGCTCCCCCCTCAGGTAACTCTGTATGTTGTCTGCCAGCTGCCGTGTGATGAGCCCTGGAAGCGAGAAGAGCTAAAGAAATACTTACTGCAGGCTCCGATATGGCACTGGGAGGGCTCGCCGATCCATCACATGGGTCAGCCCGGATACATTTCTATAGTTCACATCATCAACACGCAGAGACAGGTAACACTCCGCTTATAGATCTGTGTGCAGCTCCACGGACCACGTTTTACCGTTCAAAGATATAATCAAGTTGGCTTACATCAAGGTCATGGTCAAGGTCAAGGTTTCTTTATTTGTCATTTAGATCATGTTGTGGTGGAACGAAAAATTGTGTGCACAGGGCCCCAATTACATCCAACAAAAGTATCAATTGTAAAGAAAAACAGTAATAAGATTTGAACTAAGAATACGCTAAACACTAATAGTACAAAAACAATACGCCGGACAACAGCAGCACGAACATGAGTCTGATAATCCTGATTAGGGATTTATGAGTCTAATGAGTCTTATGTTAAATAAATGATCAACTTTAAATACGATACGTTCTATAACTAAAAAGAATTGGTTTAATATCACACACAGTTTTTTTTTATAGAGCGTCTTGGAGGAAGAAAAGTTGAAAGAATGCACATTCCCTGCACTTTTAGATTTAAATTGTGCGTCCAGAAATAAAGATGTACCGTATTTTCCACTGTACACATTGCACAGCCCTGTAAGCTGCATCAGTCCAAATATGTCTAATAAAGTGCAAAAATCCATAAATATGTCGCTTCACCGTATGCGTCGCATCTACTATGTGTCACCGCTGACAACCTGGAAATGTGGGCCGGTGTTGTGCCAAAAATCAATTGGCTGCCAAATGGCGGAAACGTGTACGGGAGGACTTTAACAAGAATTTAACAAGATTAACACTTAAAACAATTATTTGTTTGATCAACATTATAACATGTTTTTTTGTTTGTTTTTTGTGTGTGGCAGCTATCTAGATTCATATCAACTCAAAAAGTTAATGGTTGTAGACATCAATAGAAACATTACTTTTTGTAGGTTTTATTCAAATTTGTTCAGTGGTACATGAAATATTTTGCTAACAGTACAGACAAACAAACACACTCGGACAGGAAAAAAACATTCACAATCTGCCTTCGACTTTTGCTGGCAGATGATAATAAAGGTGCAGGAATTCATGTTTCCATATGGTTTCATATTATTATTATTATTATTATTATTATTATTATTATTATTATTATTATTATTA